AAAATTTCAAATTTAGGATTGCCTATGGCTCTAGCCGACCAAAGTGCTTCCGTTTTAGCATAATTTATTGATTGAACAGTAAGCACTGAATAGAATTCAAGATGTTCAAAAAATAACTGTAATTTACGTTCTAACTCAATACATTGATTTGAGTACTTCATGCCAATACTGCCTGCTAAAACTGCAGCTAAATCATCAGCAAAAGAATAACTAAGGCAACAGGAGAGAAACTCACTCATATCAGCGTGATAACTAATAAAAAGTGTAGGTGAAAGTATGGATCCTTGAGGGCATCCTCTTAAAATATTAAACCACCTTGATTTTTTGCTGGCTATTTCGATAAAAGCACGTCTACCTCTCAGCCAAGTATTTATCCACCTAAGATACGATTTTGGTATACCCATCCTTTTTAATTTCCCGATACATCCATCGAACCAAAGCTGGTCGAAAGCAGCTTTAAAGTCTATAAAGACTGTTGCCACTGGCGAACTATTAGCCATCAGACTTGAAACTTGTTGGAGAAATAGTAAAATTCTTGTTTGAAGTCGGAATTTAGACCGAAATCCAGATTGTGTATCAGGTAGGAGGCCCCTGCATGCTAGTACATTAGAGAACCGTGTTAGAAACAATTTTTCATTTACTTTCAAAAAAACGTCCAGTAAAGATATAGGGCGGGTGGCAGAAACTTCGCAAATAGATTCTTTTTTAGCTAGAAGCAGAATTCTAGTATCTTTCCATTGATCAGGAACAGCATCATTAGCGAAGGAGAAATTAAAGATTTTAAGGAGAAGAGACCAGTAATGCAACGGGAGAAAGTTGAACATGTAGTTAGAAAGACCATGTGCATCACAGGATTTTTTCTTTTTACGAAACCTAATAACATCTAGCACCTCTTCAAGTGTTGCAGGTGGAATTTCATCTTCATAATTATCCCATTGCAATTCGGGAGCATCAGTGTAAGGATGAGGTCTATAAATATTTTCGCATTCTTTAAAAAAGCTTTCATAATAATCCGCACTCACCTCACACATTTTCTCAGCTTCTTTTACTAAATCACCATTAGGAAGAACAAAACCATGTAGTGAAGAAGATGCAGATTTCATGAACTTCTTTGTACGAGACCAAAAGGAAACGGAGAGAAGTGAAGAAGTATTACGTGTGGCTAAGGCGGAAGATAGTTGATTACGTAAAAAGACTTTGAGTTCTTTTTTAGCTATTTTTCTTCTAAATTTAACTATGTTCTTCAATACTATATCATCTGTTCTTTTTTGTCTAAATGCTAGAGAACGTGTAAGAGACATGTATGTTCTTAGATCTTGTGGAATGGCAATGCGGTATTTGTTAATTGGGAAAAGAATAGTGCAACGCGCAATCAGAAGAGAGAGAAAAGATGTGTAGTCACTGTAAACATTATTTACGCTCTTTAAATACCAATTTTTTTCCCAAAAAGGGAAAACGTACTCACAGAACAAAGAAAAAACTTTCCAGTGAATATTCCGTGCGAATAGAATCTCATTGGATTTAGTAGGTATAACAGATAGAAGAGGTTTATGATCACTAGACACTACACCTTCATAAGTTTGAATAGAAACAGAAATTCCAGATGAGAAAGCGTAATCGATCATACGGTTAGACCTTAAAGATGTGAAAGAATCGGGAGTATACGGTGAAAGAAACTGAGAATCTGCCCATGCCAGTAGTAACTCGGCCTTAGCTTTATCTTCTACTAAATCAATGTTAAAATCCCCATAAAAAACACATTTGTCTGAAACTATAGACGATAAGTCCTCCCATTTCCATGCTTTACTCACAGGGGCATAAACTCCTACCAACCTTAATTTAGCACCTTCCAAAATATCAATAACACATACATTCGGTATATCGCAGACGATTCTTTCCGCTTTTAAATCATTACGCACTAACATAACAACGCCACCATGCGCGTTTTCACCTCTCTGGTAAAAGATTTTATATTTAGAAAAGACTTGTCTGCAGTGTGAATAATCAAAAAAACCAGTTTCCAGTAAAATTAATACATCGAATTTAAATGAGTTCGATAAAAGTAATACTTCCTGGTAACGCAAATCCAAACCTCGAACATTATACGATAGAATATGAAAGGAATTGACAATAGAAGACGTATCAATGGCATGAAAAGGCTCCCACTTTTTTAGACATTGAGAAAGCATAGGAGAACTTTCCCATTCTTCAAGTATACTAGAAAATAAGGAAAAGTCAAAGGGGGACAGTGATTCTTTAGCAATACTTAAATTTATCTCTCTTTCCATTAATTTGTTGTTGGTGGTACATGAAAAAAAAGGGCTTGCTAGAGGAGATAACGTCATTATTAGCAAAAGGTTTTTCCTTCTAGTGCATTGTTCAATTGAGCTCGAAGTCGTTCTAGTTTGACCCCAAAGTCTGCATCGATCAGTTTACCATATTTTTCCCGATTCATGGATAAGACAAAACTAGCCAAGTCGTTCATCATTGGTAATAATACTTTTGTAAATAAATTTTCGTGTCTATTGGAATACACTTGTAATTGTGTCACATCAGTTCTCATTGTTAGTCCAGTAGTTTGTAAGTCTTCTACGTTCTTCTCCACCTTTTTACTACGTTCAATCATGTTTGTCATAAACTTTTCAAATTTATCATTTGACGAAGATAATTTCATTAGAGATTCGTTTGTTTTATGGATATTCAGATTCAGTTCATCAAATTTTGAAAATAAAATGTCATTGTTAATAACATGAGTATTAGATTTATAACCGTAAATTGTTGATCTTTGTGCATCGGGTAAAATTGGAAAATCAGCTTGATTTAGACGAAAATGAATATTATTATTGTTCTTATTATTCGGATATGGTGGAATTGATAACAGTCGACTGGTCAAATTTGCTCTAAATTCTTTAACAACCGGGCATTTCATATCATTTGATTGGTGGTTCCCATTACAATGGATACAATGTAAATTATTTGAACACGAGTGTTGCTTAAGATCTGGACATTTATCACCACAAACTTTACATCTTTCTTCAACTTGGCGGCACTGTTTCCGAAAGTGCCCGATTGCCAAGCATTTTGAGCAAATGAGAACTTGTGCCTGAGCAAGATATTCATCGACTTCATATGATAATGATTCAATCAAAATTTTTCTTTTTGAAAGGATATCATTTCTTTGTTCTGGTTTGCTAAATTCAACTTTTATTAATTTAATATCTTGAAGATTTTTATTTTTCATTCTTATCACATTCACAATGTCCGAATAGCTTGATCTCAATTCATTTGAAAATTGTGTTAAATCAATATGTAATCCAACATTTTTTATCAAAATTGAAAGTTGCGGTGGTATTGAAGGTTTCGAAGGTCGACTAAATGTTTGTCCATTAATTAATGCAGGCCAGTTCGAGTCATCAAACAAACAAGCAAAAGAATAACTATCTTTAACAAATAATAGTATATCAATTTCATTAATATTGCATTTGGTTTTTGAACTACGATATCCAACAAAATCGATTTCGCGTTGACAATGTTCTTTTAATTGTTTACGTAAGTCTTCTGCCACTGATTGTTCTTTCATATTTGGTGTTGAGAAACGAATGATAAATGGTGGAAATGGATATCTTGATTGAGCAAAACGTTCAGCTTCAATCGTCATGTGTTCATTTATTGTTGTTCGATAGGTATCATTGGCTGGTGCTATATAATTTGATGCAGTTGTTTGTTGTTGTTGCTGATTTTGATGTAACTTGTTTGTGATTAAACGAGATCGTTTATAAGTACGAACAGTTTTTGTATTAGGATCTTTCAAGAAATTTTCAGTTTCGGACAAGTCGTCGTTTGATGAAGAATGAGGACGACGCAGAGGTGAATTAATAGGTTGAGCATGTTTTCTTAAATCAGATGTTACATTGTTAGTAGATCGCTGCATTAACGTAGAATTATAATATGTATCAACATGTGAATCGTTCAATACTTCATAAGAGTTCCTATAGATATTAGAGATCGGTAACTGTTGATTGATCGTATGTCCATAACCTCCAGTCGTTTTTTGAGAAATATGTTGCGCTGGAGAATCCAACGGTCTCCTACTCATTTTGAGAGGAGAAAAAAAAAATCACCAAAACGTGATCAAGCACCAGGTATTAGTAAGGTTAAAATTAAAATACCAATCAAAGTTATTTTAATATTTTTAATAATAATAATAATAATAATAATATTTGTGGTCACGTGCCGAATCACGTGATAACAGATTCAAGTACAAATTAAATATGTATATAGAGAAGCAGAACGACAACACGTCTTAACTGTGCGGTGGTTATTTTACGAATGAAAAAGAAAAAATTCATATCTACCTTTTATCATTATTATCTTTAATAAAAAGAAAAATATTCTCAAAACTGTATGATAACTAATGATATTTTATACATATATTTTGAATTGAAATGATAAAATTTGTAATTTCACTACTTTGCATCAATCGCTAATGCGATCAAGTTCAATTGCGTCTTAAAATTTAAATTTTCAAAATCTACGTTTAATTTTTTCTAACACGCATATTTATAATAATATGTTTAAAATTCGTATTTTTTTTTCGTTCCTGTCCCTCGTTCACTTCAATCATCACTCATTTGATATGATGTCGAGCGCACGACATATCAATTGTTCTTACACATTCGCAATAAAAAACAGAAACAAAATGTGTAAAGACGACAAACATATCGTGCACTCAATATATCAGTGTTCATCAAAAAACAGGTTGTTATCGTGCACTGCGTATCATGATTCTGTCGACGTCGTCTTTCATCGCGTCTTTTCTTTTTGATGTTTTCTTCTTCTTCTCGTTCTTCATAACAGAAGAGTTAAAAAAAAAAAATTTAAAACTAACTGAGCTTCTGAGGGTGGCTCTGAAATAATTGAACCTTCCCACGGATATCCGACGTTCTGTTGGTGACGGCGTGTAGATGGTAGGCCTTCGTAACATACATCTATGCATGTATAACTAGAAGCGTTCATCTCATCATCCTCTTTTCAAAGGCGATGATCATGGATGTACTAGTTGTACATACATAGGTGTATGTTGGCCTAACCATTGCCGGCTTTGTCCACTGTACGACCCAATGGAATACGGAGGATATCCCTGGTTGCGCGAAATTTATTGCAGCTGCTTCGCTTCGGCGGGCTTTCAAGAAAAGGGCAATTTATTTTTTCTTTTCAAGATAAAAAACAAAATGACATTTTCTTTTTCACTAGTTCAATGTTTCTTTCCACCCCGGCAATATGTGGATGTGTTGGAGGCAGTGATTTTTTCCAGATTTCTTGAGCTTTTTCATAATTTGAAAGTGCTTTCGAGTACTCGCCCATGTAATTGTACACCAGACCGATTTTGCTGTAGGAAGTAGCCAAGGAAGGATGATTTGGAGGGAGAGCTATTTTCATGATTTCAAGTGATCGTTCATATGATGAAAGTGCTTTCGAGTACTCGCCCATCTCATCATACACCATACTGATGTTGTTGTAGGAGGAAGCCAAGTCGGGATGATTTGGAGGGAGAGCTATTTTCCGAATTTCAAGTGATCGTTCATACGATGAAAGTGCTTTCGAGTACTCGCCCATCTCATCATACACATGACCGATGTTGTTGTAGGAAGTAGCCAAGGAGGGATGGTTTGGAGAGAGAGCTATTTTCTGAATTTCAAGTGATCGTTCATACGATGAAAGTGCTTTCGAGTACTCGCCCATCTCATCATATAGATGACCGATGTTGTTGTAGGAAGTAGCCAAGGAGGGATGGTTTGGAGAGAGAGCTATTTTCTGGATTTCAAGTGATCGTTCATACGATGAAAGTGCTTTCGGGTACTCGCCCATGTTATTATACACCATACCGATGTTGTTGTAGGAATTAGCCAAGTCGGGATGATTTGGAGGGAGAGCTATTTTCTTGATTTCAAGTGATCGTTCATACGACGAAAGTGCTTTCGGGTACTCGCCCATGTTATTATACACCATACCGATGTTGTTGTAGGAATTAGCCAAGTCGGGATGATTTGGAGGGAGAGGTATTTTCTGGATTTCAAGTGATCGTTCATACGATGAAAGTGCTTTCGAGTACTCGCCATTTTTAGCATACACAGTACC